GTCTTTGCCCCCCCCCTCCCCCTCTCTCTCCACGAACACTCAGGAGCTGTGTGCTGAGCACCGAGCGCAGGGGACCCTGCAGCCTGGGATGGCAGCGGATGCGGGTATGGCTCGAGGTGCGCAACCCAGCGAGATCGGGCGCGCCTGCCTGGCGCGCCCTTGCCCAGGCTCCGCCCTGCCCAGCAGGTGCTGCCGCTACGCGGCGCGGGCGAGTTTGGGGCCGTGGGCAGCAGTCGCGTGCTCTAAGGTAAAAGCGCACAATAAGGATACGCAACTTTCCAAGGTTACACTTGCAGCCTTGCCCCTTCGGCCCATCCTTGCATCCTTCGGCCCATCCTTGCCCCTGCGGCCCCATCTTTGCCCCGCTTGAAACACGTCAACATGGCCTGCTGAGCCCCTTGCATCCTTACGACGCATCCGTATTAGGCGTTCTGACAGTACCTGGGGGACGAGATGAAGAGGCAAACCGAGGAGTCGTGGCGCTATCCTTGGACGAAGTCGTGCTCGGCGCTGGCAGCGCGCCTGCAGAGGCGAGAGGCTGTGCCACCAACGCCAAGGCTCTATCCGGCTCGCATCGATGCCCTGTGGTGGGTACTGCCCCAGGGCGAGTGGAGGAAGGAGGAGGAGATGGCGTCTCGATGCTCTACACTGTCCAGTTGGGCGGCGTGTGCAGGGCAGTGGATAACTGGTTAGTCTCGATGCTGTACACCTTGCCCGCGCTCCCGGAGGCGCTCAGGGGGGGCGAGCGCGCGCTCGGACAGACTTCCTGCCGCCGAAGGAGAACGGAGGTGGCGTTTCTTCGAGAGTTGCCGTGCTCATGCTGATACACACTTCTCGGGGTAGCTGCCGGGCTTACCACTGCAGCCGTGGAAAGACAGGTTCGACATGGTCATGCCGCTACTGCGGGCGCATAGTGAGCCTCCGATGCAATAGCGGCATACATAGGATTCGCTTGGCCACAGAGCTTGCTCCACAAAGCCAAGCTTCACATATTTTTGACTATTGCCCTGACGCTGAGACTCACGTTGGTACTGGACACGACACATTTGCCCGTGCTCGTGCAACAACTGTTTGGCAGGAAGGTTTATGTTTGCGAATATGGTATTTCCAGCGCTGCCAGGGGGTAACGCCAAAGACAAGCGGAACGGTCACACCCTGGCTGATCGTATCGCCTTGTGATCGGAGGGGCGTCGAACATTGTGGAATGAGGCAGTGAAGCTAGCAAACGCCGACCAGCCCGTGCGACGCAAGCGGGCACGCACACCATCCGACGAGGCAACGAACACAAGAAGACCGGAGCATGCCATTCGGCTGAACGGCAGGGGCCTTCCCAGTAAGACGACCAAGCACGCCACCAGTTTGGGCCTCGCGCCGCACGCAGCAGCGACGGCGCGTACCATGCGTGCTTAGTCTCGCGGAGCGCTAGCTGGCGGATACCTGCCCTCGAGGCCGATGATCACCGCCCACCAAACCACCCCAACCCACCCCTAAGGCCCCGATTTGCCATCCATTTCCAGCGTGGGGGGGGGAACATGGGAAAACACACATATGAAGCCCGTCCCGCCCCCAACCCGAAATTCGGGTCTTCGGGTTGGGTTGAGGTGGTCTGGTAGGTAGCCAGATGAGATCATAGACGGGATGCTTGTGAAGGTCATCCAGTCCTTGTCGGCCGAAGGTGCAGCTGGCCCCTTGGGGGGCAGGCCTCCGGCCTGTGCGCACTGTTCACGCTTAAGTCGGGCATATCCCTCTACAGGAGGACTCTTCAAAAACAGTAAAGAAATAGTCTGGGGACGATTTTCCGACTACTTTTTGCTGGACTATTTTTGAATATTCGTTAGATTATTTTTCATTTTTTCGTCCAACATTCGCCTGTAGGAAGACATGCCCGACCTAAGTTCACGCGAGAGAAGCGGGGGATCGGGTGTCCAGCGCCCTCCTCCCGAGGTGTGGCAACTTGCCCGCGTCCAGGCACGCCCCGCCAGAGTTGCGTGGGTACATCAGGAATGATAATCGCGCCGCGTTGGGATTACCATAATGGGTTGGAGGGCGTTTGGTCAGCGTGCCTTGGATAGGCTATGCGATTACAGGTCAGCAATATTATGCTGGACACGGCGATGGAGGCAATGGGGTGCGCACTTGCTGCTTCGCCATCTCGCTGTGGGCGTGATTGCCAGCGTCGAAGCGATGCCACATTGGGTGCGCCTGTTGCGGGGTGATGAAGCTTCTGGCCCAGACACCTTCCTCAGTGATGGCGGAAACCATGATCGCAACGAAGTTGGCAGACACCGCATGCGAGATATCGCCCCAGGTCACGTTCGTTTTTTTCCCAGGACGCGCGATCAAGTCGCATGCGTGTGGGCGACAAGGGTGCCCCCTCATTTCGGCGCACCACACCGCGCCGCGGCGCAGCGCGTGATTCATGAAAAATGTGGGTTGGCAGAGCCACGGACGGGATTCGCAGCGCATGTGCCTGGCAATGTGGATCTGGCGTCTCTGGATG